TGGAGAAGAGTGGGGGGACCAAGGACTGAACCTTGGGGGACACCAACAGAGAGGAGTTGTGTAGAAGAAGCACAGCCAGAGAAAGAAACATTTAAAGAGCGCTGGGAGAGGTAGGAGGAGCACACAGGAGAGAGCAATATCTTGTAGACGGATATTGCAAAGAATAAGAAGAAGCTGTTGATGATCAACAGTATCAGAAGCTGCAGAAAGGTCCAGGAGAATTAGGATAGAGTAGTGACCATGAGATTTTGCAGTGAGTGGATCATTGGATACCTTGGTCAGTGCCGTTTCCACAGAGTGCTTAGCGCGGAAACCAGACTGAAGCGGGTCTAGCAGAGAATTGGACTTGAGTAAGTCTGTCAATCTCGCATACACAACCCTTTAAGGATCTTGGATGCAAAAGGCAGTAGCGAGATAAGACGGTAGTTGGATGGGGAGTTAGGGTCAAGGTTGGGTTTCTTTAGAATTGGGGTTCATGTTTAGTTGCATGTTTGAAGGGCGATGGAAATATGCCAGAGGAGGGAGAGAGATTTTTATTGAGAGGTAAAGAAAGAGAAGAAGACAGAGTATGGATGAGATGTGAGGGAATTGGATCTAGGGAACAGGAGGTGGATGGGAGGACTGGAGCAGAGCAGAAACCTCTTCCATTGTAGCTGGTGCAAATGAACATAGAACAGCAGAGGGAGTGAGGTTAGGGGAAGTATTGTAAGGGGAAGAAGAAATATGAGAGATCTCTTCCCTGATTGTAGAGATCTTTGTCAGTGAAGTGAGTTGCATAGTCTGAGGCGGTCAAGTTAGTAGGTGGAGGAGGAACAATTAAGCAATGAAGAGAGTTAAATGTGTGAAATAGTCATTTGGGTTTGCGGGAGAGTGTGGTTATGAGGGTATTGAAGTAATTTACTTTTGCAGAGGAAAGAGACAAGATGTATGAGCACAGCATACATGCCATGATCAGAAGCCAGCAAAAACAAAGGAGCCTCAATCTTTGCGAGATGACCTTAAATGCATGATGGAATATAGTATCCATTCTCTTGCTAATCTGTTTACTTCCAGACATAGGAAGCCTGTGCCAAGAGACAGTGGTTGCACCAGAATGTCCTATGTTTGTAGCACTTTCATTCCTTCTTGGGGTGTTAACATCACCTTATTTGTGCCGTTTTGTAAACCTATTTGTTTAATGGGAAATCCCCAATGGTAGGCAATATTATGATTTCTCAGGGCTTATTTAATATGTTGGAATTCTCTCTCAGCACCCTTATAATGTATGCATGATTAGGCCAGCACAGCACTCTTGGTTTTACATTTAAATATATTTGGGAGTCAAAGCCATCTACCATGGCTTGCACTACAGAGAGCCCCAGGTGGAAGCATTTCCCAAGTAAGTGACTATAACATAAGAGCAGACATTCAGGGTTGTTAGAGTAGGACTTGCCAAAAAGGGGGTTCATTGATGTAGTATGAAGTGTGTGATCATGTATTTGTAAATAAACCTCCATTGTTTCTGCCTAAGTCAGATTTTTTTTCATTTTGTTTTTTAAATAATTATCAATTATGTATGCTTTGAAGATGATATTTAGTTAATGTTTGAGTTTTCTGCATTGTATATGTTGTAGGCCCCAGCAGCACCCTCACAATCTATGCATGTTTAGATTCATGCATCCCACTTGGTTTCAGCTGCACCCCATTTATGTTCAGGTGAGTGCGGCCCCCAAGTTTCATATATATATATATATATATATATATATATATATTTATATATATTTATTTATTTGTGAGTCTAGCCATCTCCTTGGTTTTGCACCCCTCCCTGTCACATGTGCCTCATCCCAGGGCACTATATAGCCTTGTACTGCAGAGAGCCCCAATTTTTTCCCCAAGTTTAAAAAAACAACAACAAAAAACTAATCATATCTGTCAACATTGAAGATGTTGTTTAGTGGATAGGTGAGTGCGCTGGATCTTGTGTATTGTGTATATATATATATATATATATATATATATATATATATATATAGCAAACCAGTAACCAACCTCATGCTGATGATTTGCATTAACAATGAAACTGCTGTCCATGAGTGGTTTACTGGCTTTGCATCTTTTCCTAAGTTGTGTTTCAAAGCTGTTGTATACATCAAACACAGACTCAAAGGAATCCATGTTTAAAATGAAATGAGGCAAAAATGTGATTCTTTGTTAAACTAATTTGCATATACCCATCCATAATCCTTTGCGGTACTAACATCTAATATATATATATATATATATATATATATATATATATATATATACAATATAGCATTCCCTAAAAAATACTGAATCTAAATTCATAACATTGATGCAAGTAATGAATGCTGTATAATCATACAGGAAGATGTTTTGCCAGTCTTGCCAGTCTAGACTTCACAGCTGGAATGTGTGAAAAGCACTAGACCTTTTAATTTCAATTCTTCTTAGCTAAGGAATGGACCATTGACAGTTTCTTGACATGAAGCGGAAAAAAATAAATAAATACCATTAATAACATTTCATTTCATTCATATTTATACTTTTGCCTCTGCTGTCACCTCTAGCAATTATTTAGGTTTATTCTACAAGATCAGTTCCCTTCCATTAAATAGTTTTCATGATTGTCAAACAAGATACTTTGTCACCCTTCAAAATGTCTTTTGGGTCATACAAAAAAAAAAGAAATTAGACTGGAGAGTGCAGTACATTGTATCATGGACCTTCAACCCATTGTGTGCCAGAGGTGTAAGAGGGCAATGCTTTTCTAGAAATAAACATTGTCAGCTCTTGGTTCAGTCTGACAAATCAAAAATGTCCTCAGACATTGTTCTTCGCACAATGGCTTCTTCCCTTGCTGTCTGATACAAGTCACGTACTATTTTGATTAGCTTACATCAACTTATATAAATCTTCAAATGTCTACAACAGAGTGTAAGCCTTCAAAAACAATAATACGGTGATAAAATAATATATGCAGGACACTCACAAATGGGGAGCTATAAGACCTAGTTCCGATGTTGATAACCTCAGGTCCGTTTAGGCGACCCACCCCTATGTCAGGTGAATGTCCAATCCTGAGGGAAGCATATAAAGCCAAAAATAGGATAGCACAGTTTTCCACCAATATTAAAAAATAGCAAGCTAAATGCGTACATACAATCCTAGAGCCCTATGGCTCTGCAGTATTGCGCTATGTAGTTCTGGAATACGCTTCCTCTTTATGAAGTTGATTCCGGAAACCAGATAAAAATAATAAAATAAAGTATGGGAACAATGTCCTTTACACGTTTCACACCAATGTAGCTTCCTCAGCTGGGTAAAATGTAAGCTAATCCCTGGTTCTCTGGTCTGTGTTCATATAATTCTTAAATGAGGAAATAGGTGTCCGTTGTGCTTGTTACATTACGCAATTACCAACCTTGGTAATGCGAATGTGGTCCAAGTCTCCATGTGAAAGTCGGCATCCATCACGGCGGACGTTCTCATCTGGAGCTCCGTTGTGTATGATGTCGGTTGCAGATTACTTCATTGTATATCAAGCCTCATTCCGAGAGAATGATGATGTCATTCTTCCGTGGGTTTTCAGTCTTCAGAGTTTAACAGCGTATTGTCAGGATTACTAGTTGATCCAGCACGCAGAACTGTATCACACCTAGGACTAAAGGTAACATCTTACCAGGCCTTAGAATGGCCAGACTTAACATACCAGAGAATAGTCAGAATACTCAGGGACACAGAAAGAAACACAACGATGAGGGAAAGCCAATGGTCAGGGGTACCGAAATACAGGGAAGTCAAAACGAGGCCAAAGTCAATAACCAGAATTAAACACCCTCAAGAACACACCCTCGGACAACCACTAAGGGAAACAATGACAGGACAATGAGTAAAAGGAAAAAAGGAGTGTAAATAAGCCTCCTTCAGATCCGATTGGCTGTATCCGGCCTTTGACCCCAGAACATGAGTGCGTGTCCTTTATGTGATGTCACACGTAGTGTGGGCGGACGTGGGGCTACATATTGGTGGGGATATGCAGTGGCCGGCATCCACCAAGATGTCACAGGAGTCAGATATATTGCCGCATGACTGCTGAATGGCACTTCGGCATTTATCATGAAGGCAACTACTGCAAATACCACAAGGTAAGGCTGAACATGTTACATTACCCCCCCACCTGAAGACCGCCATCCGGGCGGGCAGGCCCAGGTTTGAGATGAAACTTCCTGTGGCCAGCATGAATGTCAGAAGTTGGAACCCAAGAGCGCTCGGCAGTACCCCTTTCAATCAAGCACTGGGAATACGCAAAGAGGCTGGGAGTACTAAAGAATACGAGACAGGATTAATTCTTTAAATGACACAAAATGGACAAAGGAACCTGGGAGCAAACTTCATGCTAGGAACCTTCAGCTTAACATTGCGCGATGATAACCACACCCTCTCACCCACTTGGTAAACAGGGTTGGCACCCCGCCTTTTTTTTTTTTTTAATTCTTTATTTTTGAGTGCAGAGTTAAATATATGTATCAACAATAATACATGGCTTTAGAAAGAGATTGACAATGTTTCATTTGGCATATTCATGGTGTGCTGCACTTTTTTTTGTACAAGATTAATACCAAAACAGGCTTATCTATAATTGAAGATCAAAACATAACGAGTATGTGGCTTCACAATAGCACAATTAACATTCTTTAGTAAAACAGGCTAGTTACACATGCCTAGATTCAGTTGCTATCTGCTCTAAAATAAAACAGTAAAGAAGACTTGGGTGAAGCATGGCAACAGTTTAGTATACCACCCCAGACTGTACTGGGTCATTGTGGAGACATCCATAATGGTCTGCGACTAATGCAATTGCAGCTTATAGACTTATAGTATATGGATAGACATATGGTGTAGGCAAGGGAGAGACAGGGAATCATGTAGATACTGAGCAAGAGGGAGCATGTTGTAAACAGTGGAGAGGTGCATTACCAGCAGTTCAGATATGGCGGTCAGCCTATCCCCTGTACAGGGAAGTTATAGTCCCACATGGTATGTGCCTCCTTCCTTATAGCCAATGGAGTCAGCTGCGGATTCTGGGTTTGCTTCCCTCCTCTCTCTCCTTCCGGACTCATCTCCCACATGTGTCTTATGGTGCTGTGCTGCCAGATTCGTCTGCATTCCGCAGTGTTTGCAGCTGCTTTTCTGGTGCGTTGCCGATGCAGCCTTTGCCTTCTCCGTCTCACCAGGACTTTGATGGCAGTAATCTGAAGGCGTTTGGAGGGAGCCTCTGCGGACTGTAGAGCAGGTAGGGTCAGCTTACTCTCCAGCTTTTCCCAGAAAGCAGCGAAGAGGGCTTGCAGGCGGTGGTGAAGAGTGGATGTCTCTTCATGTGACTCCAGGTGTCCCGTGGCGTCCGCCATTTTGCTGGCTTCTCTATCAATATCTTTGGCGTTTAGGGATACGCCACGGATCTCTGCTGAGTGTCGGCAGCTGCCGGAGTGGGGACCGGGATCACCCCCACCGGTCCAAAGGGGGGGAAAGCAGGGCATCAATTTCACGCTTGGGTCCATGTTTGCATCCGTCCGGGAGAGCGGCCGCCTCTCCCCTCCGACGCGCCTGCTAGGTCTTGATTTGCTTTGGCCACTGGTGTGTTCGAGAGGGCTGCCGGGCATGGTCCCCGATCTTCCTGTCATGTCGTGATACCAAGAGTAGGTGTCAGGCTTAGAAATAGTTGCTGTAATGGTGCCGAAATTCGATTTTGTGCAGTGGGTCTCAGGGAGCTCCCCAGAAACATGTCCAGTCGCCATGCTGGTCAGGCCCCACCCCCGGCACCCCGCCTTTTATCAGCATGAAATTTGAAATGAGCAGCTGCAGTTTCGAGAGTGGATTGAACTTTGGTCCAAGTTTGGTCCAAGTCTCACGAATAGCAGCAAGGTGATCATCCAGAGCAGAGAAAACAGCCGGCTGTACAGTAGGATGACAACTGTTATTAACAAAGAAAGGGCTATGACCGGAAGAGTCATGGTTAGTGTAACGGCACCCCCAGGGCATAAAAGGGTTAAACCGCCGTTTAGTAGATCTTCCCTTCCAGAGACACAGGCACATCTTCTGCAGAACACCAATCCGCCAAACAGGAAACCATATGAATGCCGTAAACAGCCGAATAGGAAATAGGGGGCGGACCGAACAGCACATATGTTCGCCATCCATGGCGAACGCGAACAAACGATGTTCGCCCGCAACTATTCGCCAGCGAACCGTTCGGGACATCACTACTGCCATGTGCTTAATGGAGTTTTGCCTCTGTCCTAGGAGATAATTGGATTACTTCCTAATTATCTCCAGGATAGAAGACGCTGTGGAACTGGTTTTGGGCAGAAAAGCCATGCTTCCTTTGGTCACAAAGGAGTACGATCTATCTTTTGAACCTCTGGACCAATTTGTATGATTTTGACGTATGTTTATATTTGGAGTATGCTGATTCTGAAAATGTAATGTTTTATGTGAATGTGATGCATACTCTTCAAGTTATGAATTGTGTAAGGTAATTGTATCACAGGCAGAGGGGAGGAGTTTGTGTGGGAGTGTCTGAGTGTATTGTATGTGTTTATTGGTTGTGTTCCAAAACCCTGTGGGTGGTACTTATGTGTAAGAATGTGTACATAAGAACAATAAACCCACAGCTCTGTCTGTTCACTGCTTGACCCTCAACACGGAGCTTTGTCTCGTTCTTGGGGGGATTTATTGTATGCTGTTCCAGTTCGACTGCTAGGAGTGTAAACCTATTCGTATGGTTTTTCCTATTCGGCTGTTTACAGCATTCATATGGTTTCCTGTTCGGCGGATTGGTGTTCTGCAGTAGCTGTGCCTGTGTCTCTGAAAGGGAAGATCTGTTAAACGGCGGTTTAACCCTTTTATGCCTGAGGGTGCCGTTACAATTGGTGGCGCAATCTCGCCACAAACACTATAGTATTAGGAATACAAACATGTATTCCTGACACCATAGTTGTGAAAACGCAATTCACCCTGGCTTTATTCACCCTTTGACCCCATAATGTGCGTGTCCTTTACGTGACGTCACACGCACGCCAACGTCGTCAGTAGCATGGGCGGATGTGGGGCTACATATTGGTGTGTAACTGCAGCGGCCAGCAGCCACCAAGATGTCGCAGGAGTCAGATACTGACGGCACTTCCGCATTTATCAGGAAGGCAACTACTGCAAATACCGCAAGGTGAGGCTGAACATGTTACAGATATATCCGATAATTCTTTAACTTAGAAGTCCTTTCACACAAAAATATAACATGGTTTTCTGGCATATATGTTATCTTAAAAACCGTAAATATTTTGAGCAATACATACACCGACATACATATCTGTCTGTCTGTCTGTCTGTGTGTCTGTATATATGTGTCTGTGTGTGTCTGTATGTCTGTATATGTGTATGTGTGTGTGCCTGTTTGTCTGTTTGTCTGTATGTGTGCCTGTCTGTTTGTATGTATGTATATGTCTTGTGTGTGTGTCTGTGTCTGTATGTGTGTATGTGTCTGTGTGTATGTCTGTCTGTATGAATGTGCTTGTGTGTATGTATGTATGTATGTGTCTTTGTATGTGTGTGTGTCTGTCTGTGTGTATGTATGTTTGTCTAAGTGTGTGTGTCTATATGTATGTCTGTGTGTCTGTCTGTATGTATGTATGAATGTGTGTGTCTGTCTGTACGTGTGCCTGTCTGTTTGTATATATGTATGTGTCTTTGTATGTATGTATGTGTTTCTTGTGAGAAAACGCTGGACTTCCATAGGAAAGCATTGAGTAATGCTTTCATATGGGCTGTTTGAATGCGGGCGTGGCTCTTTTGACGTGCATGCACATTCGGATCTGACGTCGGCAGGGGGTGGAGAGTTCCCCAGCATAGTGGGAGCCAGGTGCTGGACAAAGGTGAGTGGCTGAAGGGGTTTTAACCCCTTCTGTCCAGCAGGAGGGGGGCCCTGAGGGTGGGGGGGACCTAATGACCCTATGGTGCCAGAAAAACAAGTTTGTTTTCCTGGCACTATAGTGCTCCATTAAGGGATTCTTTCTTTCTTTCTTTCTTTCTTTTATAACACTATTCACTAATGAACTTCTAAGATATTTCACACCTCTATGAATGAATCTCGGTTTTGTAGGTAGAAAAGAATTCAAAAGAGGATCTTGCAATAGTATAGGCCAGTATTTGGTTATGATCCTACATACTTGGTCATTTTTATCAGTGTAATTGCAAATAAATGGAGCGTCTTTGATGAGTTGGTCTTGTTTAACTTTATATTGTAACATCTCTTTTCTTTCTTTGTTTTTTATTTCCATTCTTGATACCTCTAATTTCTGTTCCTCATAGCCTTTATCTAAGAAATCTTTTTTTAATTCTTAAAGATTAATCCTCATAAGTTTCTAAATCTGTATAGTTGCAGCAAATTCTTAAATATTTACCTTTTGGGGCATTTTCTAGCCAAGGGGCATGATGGCAATTGTTACGCTCAATAAAACTATTACAATCTACAGTTTAAAAAAAAAATTTTTTGTCTTTATTGTCCCTTCTTGAATATAAATATTAAGGTCTAAAAAAAAAATTCCTTTTTACTCCAGGTACTGGTCAGTTTAATTCCCCATATGTTGTTATTTAAAAAAAATAAAAACGCTTCCAATCCTTCTGAATTACCTTTCCAAATTAACAGGATATCATCAATGTACCAGCAACAGGACACTAATCTTTCCCCCAGCTATGGTGGCCAAAAATATATGTCTCTTCCCAAAATGCCATAAAGAGATTTGCATACCTGAGGGCAAACTTCGTTCCCATGGTTGTTCCATTGTTCTGTATGTAGAATTCTTCTCTGAACCAGAAAAATATTTTATTTATTTTTGAACCAGAAAAAAAATATTATTTAAAATTAGTTGTATACCCTCTAAAATGTAATTAACTTGGGAAGTTAAAAAATCTGTAGATAAATTTAAGTAGTGTTCCACTGCTTTACATCCATGTTCATGGGGAATATTGCTGCACAGTCACATGTTACTAAAATATATTCACTATCCCAATTAAAACCTTCTAAAAGTCATTGTATCCTTAATATAAGATTTTGTTTTTTGATCTATGGCTTGTAACAAGACGTCTATATACTGAGACAGCCTGCTAGAAATTGCATCCACTCCGGCTATGATAGGCCTGCCTGGGTGATTATTAACATTTTTATGAACTTTTGGCAGGAAATAAAACATGGGAACCTCAGGGTGTTTGATGTTAAGAAAATCAAATATCTTGTTGATTTTTTCACTTGGATTTCCACTTATTTTATTAATATGCATTCTTATCATTCAGAATTCTATCAGCCTCTGCATAGTAAAAATCTTTTTCACATTAACACTATACTCTCCCCGCCCTCCTTATCAGCGGGCTTAATGATCAGATCTGGATCAAGTTTAAGGTCTTTAAGTGCTTGGTTTTCATTATAGTTAGATTATTATGAAATTTGTCTTTTGGGGTTCTTATTAAGCTCTGTCATGACCATAGTCTCAAAGGATATCATCTTGTCCTAGATCATGTGTTTTGGAAAGAAAGATAATTTATTTTTTAATTCTGTCTGTTCAAATTCAGACCTATTTTCTACTTTGTTTCTCTCTATAGGATTTTTAATGAAGAACTTTTTTAGACAGAGATTTCTCTTGAATCTATCGAGATCTATGTACATATCAAAATGATTTAAATCTTTATTGGGGCAAATTTTAATCCTCTTTGTAAAACCATTTTATGGTGGACATTTAAATCTTTGTTACGAAGGTTGAAGATTCCCTTCATTGTCGTGTCTAATATCTTTCTCTTCTTTTTATGTTGTGTGAGTCTTCCTCCTCTAGTTCCTCATCTTCTGATAGTCTTCTTCTTTTGGAGTAGGTGGGAGGATCTATGTCTTGATTTCTTTTGTGTCTCTCTTTGGTTTTGCCCTGCCAAAAAAAACCCTCCTCTCTGTGATTTTCTAAGGTTAAGGTTAAGGTTTCATAACAGTTGTGTAACTCAGTGTGATCTTCCTTAGTATGTGGGTTTACCAAAGGTCGCCTCATCAAAGAAGGGTTTTGGTCTTTCTATTTCTTTGGTACACACCATCTCTCATTACTTTCCCATGGGGATAGGTATGATTATCTCTCCTCCTATAGGATTATTTTCTGCTCCTAAAATCATTAAAGGGTCTATTATCTTTTTTATTCCTAAAGTTGTATTGGGGCTTATTGTTGTATGATGGATAGTATGTATTATTTCTTGTGATATCTTCCCTTCTTTGTCTACATAGATTATTTGTTTCTATTGGTTTGTATCTTCTGTTTGAGGTGAGATAATTATCTTTTTCTTTATTAGAAGAGGATCTAACTTGTTTCAGTTTATAATCTCGGACATCTCGAAGATATTTTTATTTTTTACTTCCATTACTTCCCTTTCTAATCTATTTAGATTTTTTTCAATGCTCAATGTAGTATTTCTATATCAATCTCTTTAAGGCTCTCTTTCTTCCTTCTAATTATAAGGTTCATGCTAGTAAAAGAAAAACTTTCTAACATGCTATTCCATTCTTCCATGAAGTTACTTATCTCTCGATCGAACGTGGGTGTTTTAAAATATCTGAGTCCTCTTGGTGTAATTTTTTCACTTAGATATTTGTTTAAGGTTGCTATCTCCCATTTTATTTTTATTTCTTTCTGTAATAATTTTTCCAATTGGATACTAGTTTTAGATGTTTCTCCTATATTTTTATTCTCTAATCTATCAGTCCAATTTGCTA